GCAGTAAGACAACATTACCTAACTTGTCCAATTTATAAATATCACAAGACCAGAAAGACATGCAGTGCCTCGGGGCCTCTGCTCAAGATTAACAGACCCCAGAACCCAGAACTTAGGGTTTAGGGTTTAGGGTTTAGGGTTCAGGGTTTCCCACACTGTGACGAGCAGCTGTGGAGTGTCTGCGTCAGGTGCGCATACACCCGAAGCAGCAGCAAAAGGGCGGCAGCCAAAGAAGATATAAGAGGAGTTAAAATGGCCATAGAGGATCCTGCAGCAGCAGCTGCTGCATGCTGCTGCTGCTGCTGCGGCTGCTGCTGCTGCAGCTGCCGCTGCTGCGGCTGTTGAAACGACACCAGCAGTTTTGGGTGCAGAAGCCGCAGGTGCGTCGCTGGAGCGCTGGCAGCAGGACGTGCTGCGGGCTCAGTTGCTGCAGCAGCAGCAGCAGCAGCTCGAGACCGCCGGCGCTGCTGCTGCTGCTGCTGCTGCTGCTGCGGGCTCGGACGGCCAGCTGAGCGGCCCCCGTGTCTCGGAAGAAAGCAAGAAATGAAAACGAATAAAAAGGAGACAACGGGAGGCAGGCCAGGAGGTGTACAGACACCTCAAACCAAAGTGACCAGTGGTCAAGTCCGCCTGGGCGCACACGGGGCCGCGGGCCCCACCTGTGGGGTGTTCAGGTGTACAGACAGTTGGAAATGCAGAAAAGAAAAAGAAAAGAATTAAAAACGCGAAGAGGATTGGGGGGAGGGAGGCTCGGGAGCAGCAGCAGCAGCAGCAGCGGCGCCCCAAAGCAGCGAGCAGCAGGAGCAGCAGCAGCAGAGCTGCTGCTGGAGCCGGTCTGCTGCTGTGGGTGGGGTTTTATTGCAGGAATTAAAACAGAAAACAAAAAACATTTATAAAAGCCAGAAATAAAACAGCTTGTCTGCGAGGGGGCAGCAGGGGGAAGGGCGCGAAGGAGACGGCGAGAGGAAGAGAGAGCTGCTGCTGCTGCTGCTGCTGTGCAGCAGCAGCAGCAGCAGGCGAGCGCAGCAGCAAAAATGCGCCGCAGAGACGCAGAAACGCCCCAGCAGCAGCAGCAACAACAAACCAAACCCCTTTTATTCCCAAATGGCCGGCGTTTGAGCAACAATTAATTATAAATCGTGATGAACGGGCCCCAGCTGCTGCTGCAGCAGCAGAGCGCCTACGCCCCGAGGTGTATGTACACCCCAACCCTGCGTGCAGCGCGACGCCCGCCGCTCCCAGCTTCCGCCTTTTTCCCAATTACACATTTCCCAAACTTAAATTAAATGGAATTAAACTTCATTTCGAGTATTTAACTCAACGCTGTAAGAGACGCGCCGCAACAGACGCTGCGACAAACCCGCTGCTGCTGCTGCTGCTGCAGCGGGAGCAGCAGAGACTGAAACGCCACCAGGTTATGTCCACCAACCCACCATCCCTCCTTCTCCTCTCAAAAATACATTTAATTTCATTTTATTTTATTTAGTTCAACTAAATTGCAAACTAAAAGACTTCATTCCCTCCAATCCCCCGAAGCGCCGCGGGGCCATCGGCAGCAGGACATGAGCCTCTCCTGGGGGCTGAAATGCACTTAAAACACTCTTTTAATTCATTTAAAGACAACATTAATTCATTTTAAAACAAAATTTGTTTTAATTTTTTATTTCAAATCGAAAACTTCCGACTTCTCTGCCGCGCCACTCGTCCCCCGAGCTGTCTGTACACCCCAACTCCAGCTCACTCCCCCTCCGACTGAGTTAAGTGACTCTTAATCATTTTTATCTCTTCTTCAAAATTCGGAAGCAGCAGCTAGCAGCTGCAGCTAGCTGCTGCACACAGCAGCTAGCTGCAGCTGCTAGCTGCTGTCTCCCGTGGCCGCTGCCGCTGCTGCTGCACCCCCAGCTAGCTAGCCCCAGCTGGCTAGCTGGCCCCAGCTAGCTAGCCCCAGCTAGCCATGTTTGGACCAGCTAGCCACGCTTGGAACAGCTAGCCAACTTGGCTAGCCACAGCTAGCTAGCCTTCACTCCCCCTTAGCTCCATGTCTCTGCGTCTGCTGCGGCTGTAGACACTTCAACAGCAGCTTCTAGCTCAACTCCCTCTGCTTCTTTGTTCACAACTAAACCAGGTGCACCTTTTGCTGCTGCTGCTGCTGCAGCTGCTGCTGCAGCAACCGCCTGAGCTGAGGCAGCCCCGTTGGCCAGAGCGACTGCAACTGCAGCAGCAGCCGCAGCAGCAGCAGCAGCAGCGGAAGTAACAGCAGCAGCAACAGCAGCAGCAGCAGCAGCGGAAGTAACAGCAGCAGCAACAGCAGCAGCAGCAGCAGCGGAAGTAACAGCAGCAGCAACAGCAGCAGCAGCAGCAAAGTACGCAAGCACGTGTCTCAAATGCGCTCATTTTCTGCAAAACAAAAAAAGTTTAATTGACAGGAGGAAATATAAAAAAGAAAAAAACTAGTTGGTCTTTGGGGCCTGACACTTCTCCGTTCTTCGCCACGTTTTGTACTTAAGAAATTAAAATTAAAATTAAAAAATTAAAATTAAAATTGAAATTAAAATTAAAATTAAAAATAAAAAAATACTTGCAGTCCCGCGTTCCTGCGACTCCTTTTGAGGTGTACGTACACCCCAAAACGAGCCACTTCACCCAGAACCTTCGTTTAAATAAATAAGTAAATAAATAAATAAATAAATAAATAAATAAACATCATTTAAAGCATTAAAAGATATATATATTCATATATTGTGCAGACTTGCAAAGTCAGGCTTTTGGCTTCAGGAATAAGGAAGGCCATAATGATGTAAAAGGGGGAAAATTTCAAATTAGTTTTACATAAAAAACATTTTAATTTATTTTTAAATTTATATTTGACTTTCTGTTTGAGTTTAAGTGGTGTAAATAGGACAAAACTGGCAGAGATTTATACGGTACAAGGAACATGCATGCAGAACTCCTCTTATTTCCAAACACTTTTATCTAATATTTATTGTCTTAATTCACTTTTGATTATTTCTCTTTTCGAAATAATCTGTTTATAAAAAGGCCCTCAAGGAAGAGAAACTGCAGCAAAAAGAAAAGTTTAAATGGATAAAGTTGAATGCAAAAACCTCAAAAAAAATAAATCTGCATTTCTTTGAAGCTGCTGCTTCTTTCTAGTTTGCTGCTAAGGCCTTGCTTCAAGGCTTGCGGTGTAAGTACACACAAATGGCCTTAAGTGGATTATTTAATTATTTAATTTTTAAAAACTTTTTTTATTTTGCATTCAAAAGATTTCTTTCTTTAGTTTTACCCCCGGGACCAAAAGGCTTATTTGGCAGCAGCAGGAAAAGAGCCAATTGGCCTCCCAGACCCAGAAATAATAAAATAATAATAAGCGAAATGCTAAGAACAAATAACAATAATAAACATAAAATGATAATAATAATAATAATAATAATAATAATAATAATAATAATAATAATAATAATAAGTGATAGTTATAGTAGTAGTAATAATAATAATAAGCAAATAAACGCCGAAGACAAACACTTGGAAACAAAACATAAACATGCAGTTGCCTGTCCATAGTCTTACAACTCCTCACGTGTGATTTAAGAATGAACTTTTGCCACTTTGCATGCAAATTTGTCGATTTAAATCCACAAAAAGAGCTTTTTTTCGCAAATAAATGTGCATGCCTCTTGCGCATTCTGTACCAGTGTTGATGCGCAAAAAGTCCTGCATAAATGTGTACTTTTATTGCTTTGATTCGCCAATTGAAGCGCATGCACATGGGGTCAGTTGCGAGCCAGCTGGTGTACGTACACCCGAACTTAGCTACCGCCACATGCGCACATACAATATATACATATATTTATATTGCGTCTATGCTTTATTTATATTTATATTCATATATATTCTATTTACACTATACATTCATAATACATTCATATTATATATTCATATTATATTTATATTTGCATTTATATTCATTTGTATTACACCTATTCTACTTTATATTTTACTCAAATGCAGCTGCCAGCAAGTACAGAAGCTTCACCAGTGCCTAATGATTTGCTGAAACTCCTTTATTACATCTCCAAACATTTAAAATATATTTCAAAGAACAAAAGTGCAAGTTTAAATTCCATTTAAAGTACATTTCAAAGAACAAAAATGCAAGCTTAATTTCCACTTGAAGTATATTTCAGATAACACAAATGCAGGTTCAAATTCAATTTAGACTATGTTTAAAATGACAATAATATAAATTTAAATTCAATTTAAAGATGTAAAAACACAAAAAGCAAAAATATGAAAAGTCCCAATTTCGCCTTCGATGCAAAACAGCGAAATTCCGTATTTCGGGTGTACGTACAGCTCAACTACACATATCTTCAGGATGCAGATGAACAAACAAATTCACTTTTAAGTTCCATTTAATAAAAAGCGATGTAAATATCTATAAAGACATATCTAAACAACGTCTAACAGCGTCTATATATATATATATATATTTGTTGCCTTTGGTAGCAGCAGCAGCGCAGTAGCAGTAGCGGAAGCGCAGCAGCAGCAGCAGCAGCGCAGCAGTAGCAGTGCAGCAGCAGAAGTACAGAAATAAACGGAAAGTCAGGGGGAAACGACAACTGCCATTTGGCAGCTGCGCTCACTGCACATGCAGCTGCAGCAGCTGTTGCAGCAGCGGCTGCAGCAGCAGCAGCAGTAGCAACAGCATCAGGGGTAGAAGACAACTGCCTTTTGGTAAATGCGCTGCGTGCACATCCAGCTGCAGCAGCAGGAGCAGCAGCAGCGTCAGGGGGAAACAACAACTGCCTTTTGGTAGCTGCGTTGCGTGCACATCCAGCTGCAGAAGCAGCCAACAAGAAACAAATTTAAAGTAAACCACAGCAGCAGCAAATAGTCCTGGGGGGCCCCCTTGAAGGCCTCCCACATGTTCTGCGGGTCAAACCCAGAGTACCCATCGGGGGGCCCTATGTTCACCACGTTTTGCAGTCGCCGCGGGGGGGCCCCCACCCCTGCTGCTGCTGCTGCTGCTGCAGGGGCTGCTGCTGCTGCTGCACTTTTGTAGGAGTCCCTCAGAAGCACTTCTGCTGCGAACTGCGGCTGATCTGTCCACATACCCCAAGCAGGGGGTGGGGGCCTCTTGAGCCCACTGAGCAAGAGGGGGGGCCCAAGCTGCTGCTGCTGCTGCTGCAGAGTTTGCTGCTGATGCTGCTGCAGAGGCTGCTGCTGCTGCTGTAGAGGCTGCTGCTGCTGCTGCGGCTGCTGCCGCAGCGGCAGCAAACGCGGCAACACTTCCGCAAAGCCCCACAAAGCTGCTGCCAAAGACAAACCCACAAGCAGCAAAACTAGCATCAGCAAACTTATCAAATGGGGCCTCCAGGGGCCCCTGAAGTGTCTGTACACCGCAGCAAATCGCTTTGGAAGTCTCCAGCTGCTGCTGCTGCTGCTGCTCCGGCTGCTCCTGCTGCTGCTGCTTCTCGGCTTCGGAAGAGAGGCAGGAACCCGGCAGCGCCCAGCAGCAGCCTCCCCGATTGGTGTGTACAGACACCTGCTGCTGCTGCTGCTGCTGCGGGGGGGGCCCGCGGCAATGCAGGCAAAGCTGTTGGCCCCCCAGCTGCCCCGTAACCTCAAAGGGGGCCCCTCTGGGGCCCGGGGGCCCCCCTTGGGGGCCCCTAGGGGGGCCCCGGGGGGCCCCAGAAGACTCCTGGAAGACCTAAGGGCCTCTTGTTCTCTCAGCGGGAGCCGCCGCCCCAGACAAGCACCAACTGGGGGGCCCCCTGAGGGGGCCCTCATCTGCTGCTTGAGGCGGCTCTGGGCAAAGCCTGGTGGCTGCAGCGCAGCGAGCCCAGGCGCGCTAAAGTGCTGCTGCTGGTCAACCTGCTGCTGCTGCTGCTGCTTCCACTGCAGGGTGGTCAGGCGCGGGGGTCTCGGGCTGCCGCAGGCAGCAGGGCCAATTGGCAAGCAGCTGCTCGCGAGCTCAAAAGAAAGTTAAAAACTTGGTTAAAAATATGAATTCTGGACTGTCTTGGAGAGAAAGTTGGGAAGCTGGCGGCGGTGGCTTGGCGCCGCTGCAGCAAGTAGAGGACCAGGGCTCCAGGGGAGGGAGGCCTGCGAAAGCAGCTTCATCTACGCGTAAGCAAAGCTAAAACAACAAAAAAAAGCATAAGTGGAGGAGTCAACTCGAGAATAAGTCTGTTTGCCTTGGGAACTGAGGTGTATGGACACCGATGGACACCGCGGCTGCGTGGCGCGCCTCCGCGAGACTAGAGAAAAACTGCCTCCCGAAGGGTTAAAATGGTTCAAAATGATTTGAAAAGAGTAAAAGAAGATAAACTAACTAAAAACCATGCGAAAACGCGTTCGAATAGCGGCGGATCGCCGGCGAGAGCAGCGGGCTTCACCAGAGCACCGGGCTGCTAGTTGGCGGTCTTTTCGCGGGTCACAACGCCCATAAAAAAATTAAAAAAAATAATTTACGCATTAAAAACGGCCTAAAAAAGCCCATGAGTTCCAAAAAAGCGTATTTGAGATCGCAATTTGGCGCGCGAAAAAAAACGGTGCGGTGAGATCGCCGGGCTTATGCGCCGTTCGGGGCCCCCGAGGGTGGGGTCCCCCGCAGCCACGTCTATTAAACTTACTTGGCTGGCGCTCGGGGTGGCTCCGGCATCACCCTGTCGTAGCTATGAGCAGCGCATTGCACTCAGCGGCCTGTGATTGGCTAGGCCCGCCCCTAGAGGGTGGCTCCACAGCAGAATTTCTGGTCAGCAGCTCGTGCTCGCGCGGCTGCTAACGGAGGGTCTATTACTCTTTGTTTTATATGTTCTGTCTATCGCTCTTCGTTTTATATGTTCTGTTTGGACTGTTATTTGTATTTGTTTTATTTGTTCCGTTTGTGGGCTGATTTGTTGGGTGTTTGTTTTCATTCTATTTGTACTGTTTGGCTCATTCTGGCCGTGTTTCGTGGGTTCTGTTTTGTTTCGCCTGATGTGTTCCATTTTGTGTCAGGTTCGCTGTCTTGAGGAGGTTGTTCTGTTGTCTCCGCGGCTTTCCAAGTAATCGAGACAAATGTAGAGGAGTGGATTTCTTTAAAGCAAACGTTTTGTGTTTCTGTCGGGGGCTTTCCCGTTTTTGATTTTCTTATCGCTGTCTGAACTGGGTTTTTTAATCTTTTAATTATTTCTGGCTTCACTTCGTCTCAAATCTGAAATATAAATGTTTTGAAAATTAAATGTTTCTTATTGAAGCGAGGGTATGTTCCGCGTATACTGTTTGAAACCATCCTTTAAAACGTGACGCACATTTAAACTATTCAATTTAGACTTTAGAGGGGTTTTTATTGTCAATTTGGAGTTTCTTTTGAAGAACTTTTATCAAAAAGAAAAGATGAAATTGGTCGACAATTATCCCAACTTGCAAAATAGAAGAAACTTTTGAAATTAAAGTGAAGAACTGGGACGGACTTCATTATAAAAATATTTTGCGAAAAGTCTTGAATAAATAAAACAAAACAAAAGACAATTCCATTTCTTTTATTTTCATAGTTTTATTCATTCTTCAGCAGTTTCGTAGAATATTGCCGAGATGGTACTGAGTTATGAATGAATGCTGCTTTACACTGTTGCCCCCCGGCTGCTGTTTAATTGACCATTTTCAAAGGTCTTTTTTTTGAACATTTTAATTAAAATGCAATTCGAGAATTTGGGGAGAGAAGTTTAAATGGGTTTATTGCAAAGAGCTGCTGAAGATTCCATGAGAAAGCAGTGTCGGCCGCGGCGGCATTCCAAGACAAATTCATCACTTTGGGGGGTTTCCACCCTCAAAAGAAAGCAAAGAGCAACTAAAAATGAAACTATTGAAGTCTAAAGACTTATATTTTGGAATTATCTTTTATTTCGAAGAAATGAAAACAAAAAATGCAACACACTGGTTGGTGGTGGCGGTGGTGGTGGGGAGAATATTATAAAATGAATATTATCTTTTTAAACAAATGCAAATTAGAAAAAAACAAAGTGAAGCAAAAGGACCTATTATGAAGACTTCGTTCAAGACATCGAGGAACTGCTGCTCCAGCAGCAGCAGCGCAGCAGGCAGCGAGGGGGCTACCAGCAGCAGCGGGCGGCCTTCTGCTGCTGCTGCTGCTGCTGCTGCTGACGCTGATGCTGCAGCATCTGCTGCAGCAGGGTCCGCAGCAGCCGCAGCAGCGCCCTATGCCGCAGCGGCCTCCGCAGCCGCTGCTGCTGCAGCAGCCTCAGCAGCAGCAGCAGCAGCAGCAGGCGTCGCTGCGATCCCGGGCTTCGACATGGCAGCAGTTCTGCGGGACCGCCAGCTTCTGCAGCTGCTGCAGCTCTCTTACCCCATTTCCATTGTTGCTGCAATGACTCCTAAAAGAGCCATTGGCATTTCCAACAAACTCCCCTGGCCTCCTTTGCCTCCGGACTTCAAACACTTTTCCCACCTCACGCAGTTCACCCGCCCCAGGGGGCCCCCCGGGGGCCCCCCGAACGCGGGGGGGGCCCCTTGGGGGCCCCTGCACGGAGGGGCCCCTGCGGGGCCTCCACACACCCCAGGGGCCCCTTCAGGGGCCCCTGCAGCACCCCTGGGGGGCCCCACCGCCTTCGGAGGGGCCCCCAATGGGGCCTCCGCTGAAGCAGGGGCCCCTGGGGCCTCCTCTAGCCAGGGGCCCCCGGGAGCCTCCTCTGGGGGGCCCCCCTCGGGGGCCCCCCGCAGGGGTGGTTATTTGCTGAATTGTGTTATTATGGGGCGGAAGACTTGGGAGTCTTTGCCTGCAAATTCTAGGCCCTTAAAGGGCCGCGTGAATGTAGTGGTTACTTCTTTTCAGTGAGCTGAGAGCTGCTGCTGCTGCTGCTGCTGTTGCTGCTGCTGCTTGCTGCTGCTGCTGCTGCTGCACTTTGCTGTCAGTTGAGTGGGTTTTGGGACTTTTGTGGGCTGCGCTGGCTCGCAGGACAGCAGAAGAGCTGCTGGCGTCGTCGGCAGCAGCAGCACCAGCAGCAGCAGCAGCACATAAGGCAGCCGCAGCAGC